TTTGTTTCTAACAAAACAACTTTTCTTTACGATAATAAAGATCATACACTAACTTATTGAAAATTAACTAGTTTCATAGAATTACTCACATATTTAGAATTCTTAGATATAAAATTATTTTTGGGTCAAAATCTTTTCTAATACCTCTAATTTTTTATTTTTGGGGTTGTTAACTACTTCGTTGGGGGTTACTTAACTATGTGATTAAGAGATACGCATCAAAACCCTTATCATTTACTCCCATTTGCATTAGTTGGCATTAAAACCTAACAATTTATTGTAGTTTTGGTTAGAGATTGCAAAGGAGATATATTAGAGCTTAACGGTTTTTAGTTATTAGTTGTTGCATACTGTGAACAATCACAGCTTGAAGAAATTGCAAAACAGATTATGCTTGTCTATAAGAAGACAAGGTGGTTCTCCATCATGAAAAAGACATCAAAGAACCAGTGTGTTGTTCATGTTTGCATTATAGGATGACTCATGCAAAAATATCTAGGATCATAATAAAGTGGATCGCACGTAGAAAGATATTTATGGTGAATAATATTCAGCGACTAAGATCTGAATTGTAGTTTTAAAATCCAACTTAATACAAAGTTCAAGTAGTGAATAAGAGTGTCAACCTTGATTTTTTCTTTTAAAATAAGGGTCAACAGGTTGATAGTTAAGTTTTGACTAGATTAGGTCAGAGTTGACCATGTTATTAGGTTAAATTAAAATGAATATTTAATTTGTTAATTTTTTTTTCTTTTTTAATTCTTTTTCAACACATATCGTTTTATTTCTTGGATTTACTTATCAGGGCGGGTTAGGTAATGGTTTGAAGTCGATAATAAGTTGCTCAGAGATATTGATACAATATTTTTTTTAGAAAAATAAATATTTTTTCTAGTTAATTTAAGTTTTTTTCTATTTGCTATTGTCATGTTTTTTGCTTTTTTTCCTGTTTAAAATAATTATTTTTTCCCATTTAAAGAAATAAATAAATAGTTTTTTTCCATGCAGTATTATTAGAGTTTTTATTTTTTTTCTATATAAATAATTATATAAAGGATTGTAAATTGTAATAATACTTTAACAAATGAAAATAAATATTTTTACATCACATCACATGTCATGTGAGTTTAAAAAATTATAAATAATTTAGTGCAAATGAAATATACTTGTTGAAGCATTTTTAATATATCACAGCTTAAAATATTTATACGCACAATACACAACAATAAAGTATTAAATACTATTTTCACCTCACAACACAGATTTATACACGTAAATTGATTCGAAAATATCTCTAACCAAATACGAGCGAAATAATCTTAATTTACACGTAAATCGATCCGGATTAATCTCGAAGCCGTCAAAATAAAGAAAATACGAGTGAATAAAATGTTATAAATTTAGCCCAAAAGAAACGTTATCAAGTACCAAGAAACCACAAACCTAAACGTTAAAAGAGAAACCGCAAAATTGGGATGGGGTGCGCATCACACTACACGGCGCATGTTAGTGAAAGTCCCCTCTATGTCCCCGGATCCTTCCGTTTCCACTTCTTTATCTCCGAAAACCTAATGAACCCCCAAGCCCTCTCTCTCTCTCTCGAACACGCGTGTGTGCAATATATAGATCCAAGAGGTCTTTTGACTCTATTCTCTCAATCGGACTTTTCCAGTTCTCGGTCGTTCTCTGCCTCTGCTTTCGCGATCAAAAATAGCGCTGTTTCGATCTTTTTCTCGTGAAAATTTAAGGTAATTCCTGTTATTTTTTCTTGTCGATTTCTGTTTTTTTTT